TGTCTTCTTTATCAGAGTTTGCTACTTCTGTTGTATTCATGGAAGTAATATTCATATCCCAAACTTGATCTCAGAAGATCCAAGTCTCAGGAGCTGTTTGAACTGGTATAATTGAAACCAAACATATTAGCCATGCAGTAGTATTCTTTGTGTTTTCTAACGAAACATTCAAATCATTGGAGTCACACACAGTTATAATTCTAGCACTCAGGAGGCTAAGGCAGGAGGATCCTGAATTTGATGCCTGGGCTATGTAGCAAGACCTTGTCTCACCAAACAACAGAGTTAAAAAAATAATTAGAGAGGGCTGGGAATGTGACTTAGTGGTAGAGTGCTTGCTTAGCATGCATGAAGCCTTGGGTTCGATTCCTCAGTACCACATAAACAAAAAAAGCCAGAAGAGGCGCTGTGGCTCAAGTGGTAGAGTGCTATGGGCTGGGAAGGTGGCTCAGTGGTAGAGTGCTTGCCTTGCATGCCTGAGGCCCTGGGTTCGATTCCTCAGCATCATATAAGCAAAAAGAAAAAAAGCCAGAAGTGGCGCTGTGGCTCAAGTGGTAGAGCACTAGCCTTGAGCTGAAGAGCTGAGGGACAGTGCCCAGACCCAGAGTTCAGGCCCCACGACCGGACCCCCCCCCCCAAAAAAAAAGTGGTAGAGTGCTAGCCTTGAAGTGAAGAGCTGAGAGACAGCGCCCAGGCCAGAGTTCAAGCCCCATCACTGACAAAAAAAAAAAAAAAAGAAAGAAAAGAAAAAGAAAAAACTACCCAGGCACTAGAGGCCCATGCCTGTAAGCCTGGCAATTGGGAGAACAGATCAGGAGGATTGTGGTTTGAGGGCAGCTTAGGCATACCTATTGTTAGCGAACTGAGTCCCTTCCCATAGCTTAGTCCACTCCTTCCCTTCTCCACAGCTTAGCATGCTCCCTTCCTAGGAAGCCGTAGGCCCAGGTAGTAAAGGCAGTAAATAATCAACTTCTGACCCCGTTTACCTTGGGATGGCACTTCTCTGGGGCAGAAGGCAACAAGAGCTTCAGGTCTGGGCAGTTGCAGGACCCCTTATCTACTATTTGTACAGCAGCCATAAATCCTAGTCTGACATGATGAAGCCCCTGGCCCGCATGTCCATACCAGGGTCTCCACCTCCTAGCCTCTTCTAGCCCCTCCTAAACCCCCTAGGTTACATAGGTCACCTCGAACAAAGCCAGTGCTTCTTCTCATTCCTCCCTTGTGAGAAGGGGTCTTGCCCACCCCTTACCCCCCCCCCCCCCCCAATAAACCTTTCTTCTCTGTACCTGCGTGTCTGCTGGTTCTCTGGCAAAGTCTAATTAATCTTAATTTGCTATCACCTATGAAATGCCTTCTTAATCAATAGCTGGTACGGTGGCTATGACAGGAAGCCTAAAATAGATACCTAGTTAAAAAGGACTGGAGACATGGCTCACCAGTGGAACACTGCCTAGCAAACCCAGACCCAGTACTGACCAACAACAAAAACAACAAAAAGGATATAAATGACAAAAAAATATTTATTTTTGCCAGTCCTGGGGCTTGAACTCAGGACCTGGGCATTGTCCTTGAGCTTCTTTTTGCTCAAGGCCAGCACTCTACCACTTGAGCCATAGAGCCACTTCCAGCTTTTTCTCCACTTCTGGCTTTTTCTGTTTATGTGGTACTGAGGAATTGAACCCAGGGCTTCATCTAGGCAAGCACTTTACCACTAAGTCACATTCCCAGTCCCACAAAAATTCTTTTTTTTTTTTCTTTTGTCAGTCACAGAGCCTAAACTCTGGGCCTGGGCTCTGTCCTTCAGCTCTTCAGTTCAAGGCTAGCACTCTACCACTTGAGCCATAGTGCCATTTCTGGCTTTTTCTGTTTATGTGGTGTTGAGGAAGCAAGCTCAGGGTTTCATGCATGCAAGGCAAACACTCTACTACTGTGTCACCTTCCTAGCCCCCACAAAAAATTCTTAAATAGCATTTTGTTTCCTCTAAGACAGTGCCTGTTGCTTTCATTCAAGTGGTAGTGTTTAGATTCCTCATTCATAAAGACAAAATGATGCCAAACGGCATATTGATAAATAAAACCATGAGTGTTTATATTTCAAATAAAAAATACCTCAACTAATAGCACTTTTTGATAACCATCTATCTTAGCACTAGATACTTCATTAGAATTATGCTCTGTGAATAAACCCAGAAGTAATTCATTAGACCTAAGCTTACCACCTCCTGGAGAAAGATTAGGATTACATTCTATTGCTTCCATCTTCCACTGTTTAGCTGCCTACAACTCAGTATTTCTGGACTACTTATGCATAGGGAAACTGAACACTAGACACTTAATTTGTATTTGTCTTAGGCCTTACAAGCATAATCATAGTGACAAAAAACCCCAAAGCTAATACAAGTGTCATAGGGCATTTCTCCCCACCCCCCTTTTTCTGGCTATGAATACTTTGATCCTACACATAGTCACTATAATGTCCCCTTCATTTGAGGCCCAAACTAATGGAGCTACTGAAGTTGAAGTTGAACCTATGTGCCAAAATAAATCTCTCTTTATTTCGTAAGTAAGCTGTGTAACTTCATGATAGTGATGTAGAGCTAATATAATGTTACTTGTTCTTTTTCTCAAAAAAGGCAATTCAGTGGTATTCTCCCTGCCTTCCATAGGGGGTGAAAAAAAAAGCAGCAAGAAACAAAGAAACAATGAAAATACACAACAAACAAAAGAAAAACTCTAGAATCACTAAGAAAAAGCAACAAATGCAAGAGGAAAATGAGCAAAGAGCTGAAAGGGCAATTTAAAGAAAATTCAGGTGGCCAAAAACACATGAAAGATGCTCAGTCTCATTAGTTATTAAGAAAATGATAATTTTTAAGTGATAGCTCATCTTGTTCCTACCATCTGAGTAACTATAGTAGCAGTAAGATGTATATGAATATATCCTTTTTGCATAATATAGTAGTGTGTGTTGAGGTATTTTGAATAGATGAAAACGAACTAAGTGAAAACTATGACAATAGCAGATCATGGATGAGTTGTATTAAAAGGAATAAGACAAACTGGATGCCCGTGGCCCACGCCTGTAATTCTAGCCACTCAGGAGACTTAAGATCTGAGGATAAAGGTTCAAAGCCAGCCTGGGCAGGAAAGTCTGTGAGACTTATTTATTTACTTATTTGTTTATCTTTGGTTGATTGTGGGGCTTGAACTCGGGACCTGGGCACTGTCCCTGAGCTCTTTTGCTCAAGGCTAGTGCTCTATCACTTGGTGCCACAGCACCACTTCCAGTTTTTGAGTGGTTAATTGGGAATAAGTCTCATGAGGACTTTTCTGCCTGAACTGGCTTTGAACTACAATCCTCAGAACTCAACCTTCTAAGTAGCTAGGATTACATGCATGAACCACCAGTGACTGGCCTCTGTGAGATATTTATCTCCACTAAACTGCCAAAAAACCCAGAAATAGATCTGTGGCTCAAGTGGTAGAGTGCCACCATTGAGCAGAAAAAAAATCTCAGGGAGGAGGAGTGTGGGGGAGGAGGAAGAGGAGTTGGGGGGGGGGGGGAGGGGGACAGTGCCCAGGCCCAGAGTTCAAGCTCCACAACCAACAAAAAGAAAAAGAAAAAAAAAGAATAAGAAAAAAAAGAATAAGACAATTTCTAGACAGCCATGAGGAGTTAGGATTTGAGAAACTATTAATTCTAATTTTTTTTTTGGGGGGGGGGGGCGGTCCGGTCGTGGGGGCTGAACTCTGGGCCTGGGCACTGTCCCTCAGCTCTTCAGCTCAAGGCTAGTGCTCTACCACTTGAGCCACAGCGCCACTTCCGGCTTTTTTATTTTTTCTGCTTATGTGGTGCTGAGGAATCGAACCCAGGGCCTCATGCATGCAAGGCAAGCGCCCTACCACTGAGCCACCTTCGCAGCCCAAATTGGTATTTTTTTTTTTTTTTTTTTTTTGTCGGTCGTGGGGCTTGAACTCTGGGCCTGGGCGCTGTCCCTCAGCTCTTCAGCTCAAGGCCAGAGCTCTACCACTTGAGCTACAGCGCCACTTCCGGTTTTCTGGTGGTTTATTGGAGATAAGAGTCTCACGGTCTCTCCTGCCCGGGCTGGCTTTGAACCTCGATCCTCAGATCTCAGCCTCCTGAGTAGCTAGGATTACAGGCGTGAGCCACCAGCGCCCGGCTGCAAATTGGTATTTTTAATGAAGCAAGTTCTTTTAAAATGTGGGATGTGGGCTCTCTGCTCTTTTCTAGCTCTTTCTCAGCTCTTTCCTTCTCTTCTCTTTCCCAGCTCTCTCTTCTCTTTTTTTTTTGTTGTTGTTTTTGTTTTGTCGGCCATGGGGCCTGAACTCTGGGCCTGGGCGCTGTCCCTCAGCTCTTCAGCTCAAGGCTAGTGCTCTACCACTGGAGCCACAGCGCCACTTCCGGCTTTTTCTGTTTATGTGGTGCTGAGGAATCGAACCCAGGGCCTCATGCTTGCAAGGCATGCACTCTACCGCTGAGCTACCTTCCCAGCCCCTCTCTTCTCTTTTCTAGCTCTTTCTCACCTTTTCCCAGCTCTTTCCCAGGCCTTTCCCAGCCGCGTGGAGGGCCAACATGGCCTGGTGCCAACCAGAACGATGAATAAACTTACCCTTTACCTGGAAAAAAAAAATGTGGGGTGTGGGATTAATGTATAACCTTCTACTCATACTCTCTTGATCTCCTCTACTGAAGGCTCTTTCTCTCCCCACAGGGGTCCCTGCCTCCCTCCCACCCTAAACCTGGGATAGAACCCAGGACCCTGAGCCTTGGCTTACCACTTAAGCACAGTACTCATAGCCTCTTGATTTTGTTTTTGAGACAAGGTCTTGCTACCTTTGCCCAGGCTACAGTATTGCCTCCCAACTAGCTGGAATTACAAGCATGAGCTTGTTCTAGGGGCTCATCATGATGATTTATTATACTCACTTTGTGCTCAAGACAGTAAGAAGATGGCCAATGGTAGCAGATCTTACAAGACTAAATGAAACTGAAATGAAAGTTCACTTCCTCATTGTGGATACCTCATGTGACAAGTTTTGATTTCTTTTTAAAGCAACTGAACTAATGTATCTCTCCCTCCTGTGACATCTTTGGAGTGAGCACGCCAACTCACGGATTTTTACTATGGAAGCTCCTGCTGGGTCTATCGTGTATGTACTATCCATTTGTTGTTTATTTTTCTCCTGACATTTGGTTTTAGGTTCCTGACATTCAGTTTGCTTTGCCTACCAAGTTTTAAATATTTGCTTTCAGGAAGTAAACTAAAAAAAAAAAAAGTTGTGTTGTTCAATTTGCCTCATTTGTCTGATTAAAAAGGAACTATTCTTTAAAATTAATGTCTCCTTGAAAATCTGTACTTGAGACTAAACCTAGTCTTCTTTGGAATATAATTGGAAAGTTTACATGTTTAAAGTTTACTGTTTCTGAGTTTAAAAGAAATAGAAAGTAGAATCTAGTTTGAAGCAGTTAGTTACTGAGTTTCTCTTAGTCTCTTTGAATTAAATATAGAAATGGTGTTTTAGAAAATAATTACTTCCTTTAAAAGCAGATATTTGATTTGTAGGAAAAAGGAAAATGACCTAAGGATGGGAGATTAACTAATAGAAGCTGTCTTCTAACTATCTCTATTGGTGTTTATTTTATTTCTAAAATTATTTTTTGGTGAAGTCCTGGGGATTCCAGAGTTTCACGCATGTTAGGCAAGTGCTTTACCAGTAAGCCTCATTCTTATTCCTATTTGTGTATTTTATTTTTGTGGGAGTGGGGGTTAACGTAGTCTTCTAGCTCAGCCTCCTGACAGCAGGGACTACAGATACATGGCACTGAGCCTAGCTTATTTATTTATCTGTCTATCTGTCTGTCTATCTATCTATCTATCTATTTTGTCCGTCATGGGCTTGAACTCTGGGCCTGGGTGCCTTCTCTGAGCTTTTCAGCTCAAGGCTAGCACTCTTCCATTTGAGCCACAGTGGTTAATTGGAGGTAAGAGTCTCACAAATCACAAACTTTCCTGTCTGGGCTGGCTTTGAACCATCATCCTCAGATCTCAGCCTTCTGAGTAGCTAGGATTACAGGCGTGAGTCTCAGGTGCCTGGCTGCCTAGCTTGTTTGTTTGTTTCGTTTATTGCCGGTCGTGGGGCCTGAACTCTGTACCTGGGCGCTGTCCCTCTGCTCTTCAGCTCAAAGCTAGTGCTCTACCACTTGAGCCACAGCGCCACTTCTAGCTTTTTCTGCTTATGTGGTGCTGAGGAATCAAACCCAGGACCTCATGCATACAAGGCAAGCACTCTTTCACTGAGCCACCTTCCCAGCCCCATGCCTAGCTTATTTTTAAAATTAAATTTATTTATAAAATCATACAAACTATATATATTAGTTGGTTTCTATGAGATGTTTCAATATGTTTATGCACTAGGGTTTGGATATTTAAATAGGCCAGTTAAAACAGGTTCATGGATTCAAAAATTCAAAAGACAACCTGATTTTTCTTCTTGAGGATATATATATATATTTTTTGCCAGACCTGGGGCTTAAACTTAGGGTTTGGGCACTGTCCCTGAGCTTCTTTTGCTCAAGGCTAGAACTCTATCACTTGAGCCATGGCACCACTTCCGGCTTTTTCTGTTTCTGTGGTACTGAGGAATCAAAACCAGGGCTTCATGCATGCTAAGCAAGCACTCTACCACTAAGCCACATTCCCTGCCCAAGTATATATATATATATATCAGAAAGGAGAAAATAAAATTTACCTCGATTAGATTTGTAAGCAAATCTTGGAAAATCCCTACTTTTTTTTGTCAGTCATGGGGCTTTTACTCGGCCTGATCTCTTCAGCTCATGGTTAGCGCACTACCACTTGAGCCACAGAGCCACTTCTGGTTTTCTGAGTGAGTTTATTGGAGATAAGAGTCTCATGGACTTTCCTGCCTGGGCTGGCTTTGAACCATGATCCTCAGATCTCAGACTCCTGAGTAGCTAGGATTGCAGGTGTGAGCCAGCAGCGCCTGGCTGGAAAATCCCTACTTTTTAACCCTTTGGGTATAATAGGAAATTTATGAAAAATCATTTTAAAATCCTGAGTATTGGAAGTAATGGTTCACACATAATTCAGTCCTCATTTCTTGTGTCTGTATATTCTTCCAAGTTACCTATATAATTCTGATTTACAAGCAAGTGTTCCTTTAATGGACTTTGCTTTGCTATATTGTTTTAGAAAAACAGAGTTGCAATATATGTAGCTAACAGCTATAATTCCTATATTACCTTCCTCATAGCAGAATGAAATGGCTGGTTTGGGTGTCCCTGGTGTGGTCCTTCACAGTGGCCCATGTCCATGAAGATCCCACCCTGGATCATCATTGGCATCTCTGGAAGAAAACCTATGGCAAACAATACAAGGAAAAGGTAGCTACAATTGCCACTTGAGTAATATGTTTTTATACAAGTACCCTGCTTTCTCCCTCTCAAAATCTTGTTCTTTTGTTTGTTTTTTGATCCTTGAATTGTGATATGATTTTTTTTAATTGTGAAAATACTGTACAGAGGAGTTACAATTACATGGGCAAGATAATGAGTACATTTCTTATCAAGCATTTTTGCCTCCTCCTTTGTTTCCCCTTCCCATCCCTTCCCATCTCCCCCCTCCCCATCTCTCCCCTTCCCCCAAAAAATCTTGTTCTTATAGAGGTGTTTCCCAAAAATGTCATGCACTTATTTCTTTTTTTTTTTTTTTGGTCGGCCGTGGGGCTTGAACTCTGGGCCTGGGCGCTGTCCCTCAGCTCTTCAGCTCAAGGCGAGCACTCTACCACTTGAGCTACAGCACTACTTCCGGTTTTCTGGTGGTTTATTGGAGATAGGAGTCTCACGGTCTCTCCTGCCCGGGCTGGCTTTGAACCGCGATCCTCAGATCTCAGCCTCCTGAGTAGCTAGGATTACAGGCGTGAGCCACCAGCGCCAGGCTTCATGCACTTATTTCTTGCCAGATGCTGTTGTTCTTATTATATAGCAGGAAGCAAAACAAAGTTCTTGTTGCTATGGAACTTGTATTATACTGGTAGAAACAGGAAATAAACAAAAATATAAATGAAAATGTCAGTATGTGATAATGCTAAGTACAGTATAGTAAGTAAGACATGGGTGGTAGCAGTGAGAAATCCGTCTGACAGGATAGGTTGGTGAGGAAAATCCCACAAATAATGTGACAATGGAGTAGAGAGTTGACAGAGAGGTAAAAGCAAAACAGTGGAGTGTAAGTCCCAACCTTAGGGAAAATTAGTATAAGACCCTAAAGAGGCAGCATTATTGCCATACTGGAGCAACAAAAAGTCCTTCTTATAGATCCTGTCATGTAGAAGTGCTGGTAGATGTTAATTCTTGACTCTGACTTCCTGTTTTCTACTTTTTATTTCAAAGCATACTTGTTGAATGATTTTAACAACCTTATTGCTTAAAATATCTACTTCATATACTATGTCACTTGTAAATTATCAAGTTTCTTTAATGTTATTTTGTATGAAATAACTTAAAAGATCACATATACCTTAAATTCTCATTTATTTATTCATTTTCATTGTTTTATGATGATACCAGGGCTTGAACCTAGAGCCTCATACTCTTATTCATCTTTCTTGCTCATGGCTGGCACTCTACCACTTGAACCATGCCTCTAGCCCAGGTTCTTACAGGTTATTTGGCGATAGTCTTGTAGATTTTTCTGCCCAGGTTAGCTTCAAACTATTGATCTTGTATCCCACAACTTTTCTGAATTTGTTTATCAGTTTTTTATTTCACTTCTTCCTTTTCCTATTTAAATGCATTTTATTTCTTTTTCTTGCCTAATTTCTCTGCCTACAATTTCTATTACTGTGACAAATAGAAGTGATAACATCTTTTTTTCCCCAAACTTAGAGGATTTTTAAACTTTTCATGGTTGAGTATGATGTTACTTATGGGCTTGTCATATATGGCCTTTATTTGGTTGAGGAACATTGCTTCTATACTCAATTTGTTTAAAAAATTGATCATAAAAGAATGTTGAATTCTGTCATAGATCTTATTAATCTACTGAAATGATTATGTGGTTTCCATAGTGGTGCTGAATTTTACCCTCACTCACTCTGTTTAGGACCAGGTCCCTAATTTCAAAGATGACTACAGTTTTATGTGCAGTTAATATGTTTGTATGGTTAAATGAATGCTATGCTTCTTCTGTTTTTTTGGTCTGTGGTGGGGCTTGAACTCTGGGCCTGAGCCCTGTTAGCTCAAGGCTTAGCACTCTACCACTTGAGCCACAGTGCCACTTTTGGTTTCCTGGTAATTAATTGGAGATAAGAGTCTCATAGACTTTCCTGCCTGGGCTGGCTTTGAACCACGATCCTCAGATCTCAGCTTCCTGAGTAGTCATGATTACAGGCATGTGCCATGGACGCCTGGCACTATGCTTCTTTTTTTTTTTTTTTAAATGATTCCAATTCCTTAGGAGAAATGAAAATGACATTTGACTGGTATCTTACCCTGATAATTTATCTCTAGTTTCACTTCTATCTTTCTTTTCCAGTAGTTTGTTAGGTTTATTTTTATCTCTTCCACTTTTTCTCTTCTAGTAGTTAGGAAGAATTGCCATTGTGCACGGTCATGCCCATGACTAGGATGATAGTAAGAATTTCTCCAGAGGAGAAGGTACTATATCCTGAAATGGAGCAGAACAGGTTTTCCTGACTGCTTACTGGGCTACAGCTTGTTGTTGTTGTTGGGTTTCAGTTATTATAGGATGCCCATGTATATGGCATACAGTATGTTCTATGTAAATGTATCTCCCAGAGAACAAGAAAATCAACAACCAGCATAAGAATTCATTCTGGGTAAAGTCAGTGTTAAATTTTATGTTAAAAAACTATCCACGCCGGGCGCCAGTGGCTCATGCCAATAAACCACTAGAAAACTTGAAGTGGTACTGTGGCTCAATCGGTAGAGCACTCACCTTGAGCTAAAGAGTGCAGGGACAAACAACAACAACAAACAACAACAACAACAAAACTATCCAAGCCAGGCACCCGTGGCTCACACCTGTAATCCTAGCTACTCAGAGGGCTGAGATCTGAGGACAATGGTTCAAAGCCAACCCAGGCAGGAAAGTCTATGAGACTCTTATCTCCTTTTAACCATTAAAAAGCCAGAAGTGGAGCCATGGCTCAAGTGGTAGAGTTGCTAGCCTTGAGCACAAAAGCTCAGGGACAGGGCTGGGAATGTGGCTTAGTGGTAGAGTGCCTGCCTAGCGTGCATGAAGCCCTGGGTTTGATTCCTCAGTACCACATAAATAGAAAAAGCCACAAGTGGTGCTGTAGCTCAAGAGGTAAAATGCTAGCCTGGAGCAAAAACAGCTCAGAAACAATGCCCAGGCCCTGAGTTCAAGCCCCAGGACCAGCACCAAAAACAAAACAAACAAAACAAAGGAGGAGGCTACAATGCCTGATAAGAAATGTACTCATTATCTTGCCCAAGTAATTGTAACCCCTCTGTACAGTATTTTCACAATAAAAAAAACAAAAACAAACAAAAAAAATTGTCCATGAAAGAAAAACATTCCCACTAATGAACATTAAATTATGAAATAAATTAGGAATTCTGTAACATATAAACATATATTGGATAGATTCATCTATTTATTTGTTTCTAAACAGATATGCATTTGGTAGATTACTTTGTAAAATGATATTTGTCTTATTAAACACTTAATTTGCCAACGATGCAGTAAAATAGTGTTCTTTTTCCTTATATGTTAGAATGAAGAAGTAGTACGGCGTCTCATCTGGGAAAAGAATCTAAGGTTTGTGATGCTTCACAATTTGGAACATTCAATGGGGATGCATTCATATGATCTAGGCATGAACCATCTAGGAGACATGGTAAGTAAATTACGAATAATCCTATTTTCCTGTCATGGTTTCCTGTCTCCCCAAAAGCAATCTGAAGGAAAAAGATAACAATAAAGGATAAAAACAAAGGAGGCTAAGAAAGATAAAAACAAAGGAGACTAAATAGCCAGAACCGGGGATGTAGCTCAATAGTAGAGCCGTTGCCTACCATATGTGAAGTCCTAGGTTTGATTTCCAGGTAAAAACCATTAAAAAAAAAAAGGGCTGGGAATGTGACTTAGTGGTAGAGTGCTTGCCTAGCATGCATGAAGCCCGGGGTTGGATTCCTCTGTACCATATAAACGCCAGAGTGGCTCTGTGGCTCAAGTGGTAGAATGCCAGCCTTGAGCAAAAGAAGCTCAGGAACAGTGCCCAGGCCCTGAGTTCAAGCCCCAGGACAGGCAAAATAATAATAATATGCTATTTGGGTGTGTTTTTCTTTTTTTTTTTTGCTTGCTTGTGATACTGGAGATAAATCTCAGGGCTTTGTGCTTACTAAACAAGTGCTGTACAATTGAGCTCATCTCCAGCTCTCACATTAGTTTTAGATTTTGTTCTACTTTACAAAATTTTACCATTGTAGCCAAAATTAAGAATCACAGCATCTTCCAGCCAAGAGTGGTGTCTCACATTCATAATCCTAGTTACTTGGAAGGGAGAGGCCAGCCTGGGCAATAAAGAAAGAAAAAGTAAAGAGACTACAATTAAACCAGTAAGCTGGGTGTTGTGGTTCATGCCTGTCAACCCAGCAGTTCAAGATGCATAAATAGGAGGATCTCAGTCTGGCTGGCCCCAACAAAAACTAAAAAGTAACTAAAGAAGCTGGCACTGGTGGCTTACACATATGATCCTAGCTACTTAGGAGGCTGAGATCTGAGGATCACGGTTCAAAGCCAGCCCAGGCAATAAACCACTAGAAAACCGGAAGTGGCGCAGTGGCTCAAGTGGTAGAGCACTAGCCTTGAGCTGAAGAGCTGAGGGACAGCGCCCAGGCCCAGGCTTTTTTCTTTTTGCTTATATGGTGCTGAGGAATCTAACCCAGGGCCTCGAGCATGCAAGGCAAGCGCCCTACCACTGAGCCACCTTCCCAGCCCCAATATTTGTTTTTCTTAGCTTTAAAATGTATTAGCAGGCCAGGCACCAGTGGCTCATACCTGTAACCCTAGCTACTCAGGAGGCTAAGATCTGAGGATCAAAAGCAGCTGGGGCAGGAAAGTCCATGAGACTCTTATCTCCAATTAACCACCAGAAAACTGGAAGCGGTGCTGTGGCTCAAGTGGTAGAGCACTAACCTTGAGCTGAAGAGCTCAGGGACAGTAATCAGGCTCAGAGTTCAAGCCCCATGACGTTTTTGAAAAAATTAATTCATTAATTAAAAAATATTAGCATTTGTAAACACTAGAACATTAAAAAGAACATGCAACCAGGTACTGGTAGCTCATGCCTCTAATCCTGGCTGCTGAGGATGCTGAGATCTAGGGATTGCCAGCCTAGGCAGAAAAGTTTGTGAGGCACTTATTGCCAACTGACAACCCCTAAAATGCTAGAAATGGAGCTGTGGCTCAAGTGGTAGAGTTCTAGCCTTAAGCAAAAAAACTCAGGGACAGTGTGCAGGCCCTAAGTTCAACTAGCACCAAAAAAAAAAAAAAAAAGACATGTAGCTGAATGTATAAAAATTTTAGTTTAAGAATATTACATTGCTTCATTTATATTTCTAATTTTATTAAACACTGTGGTTAAAACTAATATTGCCAGCTTTAAAACAAACAAACAAACAAGGATATGTGAAAAGTGATGTGTATTTGCTCTGTAGACCAGTGAAGAGGTGGCATCTTTGATGAGTTCCCTGAGAGTTCCCAGCCAATGGCAGAGAAATGTCACCTATAAGTCAAACCCTAATGGGAAATTGCCTGATTCTATGGACTGGAGAGAAAAAGGGTGTGTTACTGAAGTGAAATACCAGGTGAGTATTACCACCCCATGCCTATGCATTCTAGGCAGACCTGCAGACCTCTCTCTCTCTCTCTCTCTGTTTACCCATATACTGGGAAAGGAATTTCAGTCTTTTGTGTTTGTTGTTCTTGTATTCCCTACTAAGTTGTAAGGTCCTTTGGGGTAAGGATCACATTTACACTTTATTTATTACTCCCTCAGTGCTTAGAACACCAGTAGTTATGAGAACTCCGTTGTATACAAAAACTGTTAACTATATACATCCTTCTGTAAGGCCAGGTTAGTGTTCATCTCATCCATTGGTTAGGTTACACCTGATTTTCCTAGGTATCATTTGATCTGAGGAAGGATACTTTAGGAAGGAAATCAACCTATTGCCTCTCAAAATCAGGTTACTGTAGACATTTATCTCCTCTGAGAGGTGAAGATAGGTGGAATTTGGCACACGCTCAGTGGATACTATTAATATATTTGACTATGCTCACTATTCTCTGAGCTTAGATATTTACAAATATCAAGGTTGAACCTTGCCTAGAGAACAATAAAAGATTTAGTCTTAATTCCCACTGTCTAAGAGAGAAGGAAATTGTAGTGAGGACTGCTTCCTGAGAATTACGGACAGATGTGGCATGGCTAGGAGTTGCTCTGTATTGTGAAAGCTATCCTCACTGATTTTCTGTGGTTTCCTTTGTGACCTTATATGTATTTTAGGGTGCCTGTGGTGCTTGCTGGGCTTTCAGTGCTGTGGGAGCACTAGAAGCACAGCTAAAGCTGAAAACAGGAAAGCTGATATCTCTCAGTGCACAGAACCTGGTGGATTGTTCAACTGACAAATATCAGAATAAAGGCTGCGGAGGTGGCTTCATGACAGAGGCTTTCCAGTACATCATTGACAACAATGGCATTGATTCGGAAGCTTCCTATCCCTACAAAGCCGTGGTATGTCACAGGCAAACTTTGTGTGCTATCCCATGACCTTGTTCAATTCATTGACTCATTGTACCAGAATCACCACTTACTCGATTATCTGAGAAACAGTGTTATGTGTATGAGAGAGAAGACCCATGAATAACTCTTAAATTCCTAAGTTTTCTTTCTTCTGCAATAGCCTCCTTAATTTGTTAGTGGCAGTGGGTGTATATAGTATATCAGAGTTGCTATAATCCAAGCATCTCAGGAGTTTGAGGCCAGCCATAGGTAAAGGAAGACCCTGTTTCACAATAAAATACAAGACCAAAGGGCTGGTAGGGTGGCTCAGGGGTTGCCTAGTATAGTTATAGAACCTGGGTTCAGTCCCCAGTGGGAGTGTGGGGATAACCAGCAGCAAAATATTTTTATACAAGGAAGGTGTGTTCATAATTAAACAAAGACTTTAGCCAAGCCATCTTTAAAATTCTCTTTGAATAATCTCCCTAATTTCTTTTGTTATTCTTATTAGACAGCCTCCATGCTTCGTCTGATTCTCAGATCATCAGGTGACAATGTGGCTCATGCCTATAATCCTGGCTACTCAGGAGTTTGAAATCTGATGATCATGATTCTAAACCAGCCCAGACAGTCTGTGAGACACTTATCTCCAATGAACCATGAAAAAGCCAGAAGTGGAGCTCTGGCTCAAGTGGTAGAGCACTAGCCTTGAGGGAAAAAGCTCAAGGATAGCACACAGGTCCTGAGTTCAAGCCCCAGGACTGGCACAAAAAGAAGAAGAAGAAGGAGGAGGAGGAGGAGAAAGAGAAGGAAGAAGAGGTGGAGGAGGAATGGAGGAGGAGGAGCAGGAGGAGGAGGAGGAGGAGAAGAAGAAGAAGGAAAGAAAAAAGGAGTCGTAGATACTTTAAAAGATTAAAGTGTGGCCAGGCACCTGGCTCACATTTATAATCCTACCTATTCATGAGGCTAAGTAGGTAGATTTTTTTTTTAAATTTTTTGGGCCTGGCAGATGAATCTAAATTGGAGACTCTTATCTCCAATTAAACAGCAAAATGCTGGACCAGAAGTATGGCTCAAGTGGTAGAGTGCCAGCCATGAGCAAGAAAGCTGAGCAAGAGCAAAAGGCCCCAAGTTCAACACCCAGTAGAGGCATACAAAAAATTTTTAAAGTAATACTAAAATTTATTAACATTACATGCCAGGTATTATGCTATATTCTTTATGTGTCAGATCTCATTTAAAGTGCCGAGAGGGCTGGGAAGGTGGCTCAGTGGTAGAGCGCTTGCCTTGCATGCTCAAGGCCCTGAGTTCGATTCCTTAGCACCACATAAGCAAAAAGAAAAAAGCCGGAAGTGGCGCTGTGGCTCAAGTGGAAGAGCACTAGCCTTGAGCTGAAGAGTTGAGGGACAGTGCCCAGGCCCAGAGTTCAGGCCCCACGACCGGACCCAAAAAAAAAAAAAAAAAAAAAGAAAAGAAAAAAAAAAGTGCAGAGAATGATGGGCTGGGAAGGTGGCTCAGTGGTAGAGTGCTTGCCTTGCATGCATGAGGCCCTGGGTTCGATTCCTCAGCACCATATAAGCAGAAAAAGCCAGAAGTGGCACTGTGGCTCAAGTGATAGAGCTCTTGCCTTGAGCTGAATTGTTGAGGGACAGCACCTAGGCCTAGAGTTCAGGCCCCACAACCAAGAAAAACAAACAAACAAACAAAAACAATAAAGTGCAGAATGAGTCAGGCGCTCTTACCTATAATCCTAGCTACTCAGGAGGCTAAAATCTGAGGATTGCAGTCACATCCAACCTAGGGAAGGAAAGTCAGTGAAAATCTTATTTCCAATTAGCCATCAGAAACCCAGAAGTGGAATTGTATCTCAAAGTGGTACAGTGCTAACTTTGAGCACAAAGGCTCAGGGACAGCACCCAGGCCCTGAGTTCAAATCTGACAACTGACAAAAATAAAATAAAGTGCAGAAGGAAAGCATATTTGAAAACTAGACTTAAGAGTATTGGTGATTTATGCCGGGCGCTGGTGGCTCACGCCTGTAATCCTAGCTACTCAGGAGGCTGAGATCGGAGGATCGCGGTTTAAAGCCAGCCCGGGCAGGAGAGATTGTGAGACTCCTATCTCCAATAAACCACCAGAAAGCCGGCAGTGGCACTGTAGCTCAAGTGGTAGAATGCTCGCCTTGAGCTGAAGAGCTGAGGGACAGCGCCCAGGCCCAGAGTTCAAGCCCCACGGCCGACAAAAAAAAAAAAAGAGTATTGGTGATTTAGAAAGGAATTCTAACTATGCTTCTTTATCTGATTATACTTTTAAAGGATGAAAAATGCCATTATGATTCAAAAAATCGAGCTGCTACATGTTCAAAGTACACAGAGCTACCCTTTGGAAGTGAAGATGCACTGAAAGAAGCTGTGGCCAATAAAGGACCTGTTTCTGTTGCCATAGATGCGAGTCATCCTTCATTCTTTCTCTATAGAAGCGGTAAAAACGGATATATTATCCTCTTGTTATATGCTAACTTAGCATATAGGTTAACCAGAATGTTACATTTTATATTAACATTTTATAGCCACTTCTAATTACATGCCAGGTAATATGCTAACTTCCTTATGTGTCAGATCTCAATTACCACCACAATAACCCTAAGTTGCAAATGAAAAATCTCAGTAGAGAAGTTGGTTTACCTAAAGTCATACAACCTGAAAGTGATTAAGCTGTTGTTGAAAATATAAACTAGTACAGCCATTATAAAAAGTGGTATGGAAATTCTTCCCCAAATTAAAATAAGAATTACTACTGTAATACAACAATTCCACTACTGGGTATAAAGGAAAATCAGTACGTAGAAGAGACATCTGTACTGCCATGTTTACTGCAGCACATTATTCAAAGTGGCCAAGAAATGGAAACAACCCAAATGTCCACTAACTGATAAATGGATTAAGAAAATGTAGTATATATAGACTATGGGATATTTTTCAGCCATGAAAGAGAAAATCCTGATGTTTGCAACAACGTGGATAGAACCCGGGATCATTATACTAAATGAAATAAGACAGTCACAGAAAGACAAGTACTGCTCCTATGAGAATACTTAAAAAATGATTTCAGACTAGGGATGTGGCTCATGTACTAAAGCATTTTGTCTAGCTTGCTTGAAGCTCTGTGTTCAATCCCTAATATCACAATAAAATAAATAAATAGTTAACACCAGTAAGTTAAAAGCAGGCTAGCTGGGTGCTGATAGCTCACGCCTATAAGCTTAGCTACTTAGGAGGCTGAGCTCTGAGGATCATGGTTCAAAGCCAGCCTGGGTAGAAAGTCTGTGAAACTTTAACTGCCAAAAAAGGTGGAAGTGGAGTTGTGACTCAAGTAGTAGAGCACTAGCCTTGACCACAAAAGCTCAGGGGCAGTGCCCAGGCCCTGAGTTCAAATGCCAGAACCAGCACCAAAAAAAAAAAAGGCAGAATAATTGTTAAGAGAAAGTGGTAAAATAGGAGGAGGGGAGGAATAGGGACTACTTGACCAATGGGTACTAAGTTATAGTTATATAGGAGTAAACAGTACTTTGTAGTATTGCTTATTAAGATGACCATAAATACTCCAAGGCTGGAGCATGACTCAAACATTTGCCTAGCATACTTGAGGACCTGGGTTCAATCCCCAGTAACTGGAAAGATTATTATAGATGACTGTAGTGATGTATGGCTGCAATTCCAGCACTCAGGATCTTTCCTCGATAAAAAAAAAATAACAGGGGCTGGGAAGGTGGCTCAGTGGTAGAGCGCTTGCCTGTCATGTCTGAGGCCCTGGGTTCGATTCCTCAGCACCACATAAGCAGAAAAAGCTGGCTCAAGTGGTAGAGCACTAGCCTTGAGCTGAAGAGCTGAGGGACAGTGCCCAGGCCCAGAGTTCAGGCACCATGACCAGCAAAATAAATAAATAAATAACAAAAAAAGATGGTTATAACTAATGAAGCATAGTATATATTTCAAAAGACTGGATGAAAGAAATTTTAATGTTTTCAAATAAAGAAGTTATGTGTTTGAAGAGACAAACACATTATGCAATGCACACATGGATCAAAACATCTGAGGGAATTGAACTGATGCTGAACTTGGCAGGAAAACTGAAAGATATAGCATGATGTCAAAGAATTATAAGCTCTAAAATAGTTGATACATAAAAGTATGTTACTAACATTTTAATTAATCTTGTCCTATGTCCAAAATGGTCTAAGAAAAAGTAAGAGAATTTTCAAATGTCTTTTATTATCAGATGGCATTCATTCTTTTCCCACAACTAAATTTTGTTCTCAGGTGTCTACGATGACCCAGAATGTACTCAGAATGTGAATCATGGTGTGGTAGTGGTTGGCTATGGTAATCTTAATGGGAAAGACTATTGGCTTGTGAAAAACAGGTAATATATTTGTAAATTATTGTCTATTTAATTAAATCAAGAATTTGAAGGAACATCAACAAATATGATATTGTGATTATGATGATGATCATCATCATGACATTAACAATAATAAACATCTATAGTTTCTTACCAAATAATATTCTAAGTTACTCAGTTCCTCCATTTTTCCACTTACTATCTAGCCTTCATCTCTTTGTTTTCATCATTTGTCTTCTTCAGTACTTCTCTATTTTTTTTTCAGTTCCTCTTATGAACAAGAATTCTTTTGGTTAGCCCTAAATGTTGGTATCTCCCTCCCATCCATCCTCTGCACAATATCTTTTTATTCTATATTTTTCTATATCATCCCATTCCTACAACTTTAGCCATAACCTACATGTTTATGATTTTCAAGTATATATTACTACCTCTAATAAAGTTAGGAATCTGCAATATTTTCAATTAAATATAGTTTTACATTTTATTTTATTTTTTTGGTCTGGTCGTGGGGCCTGAACTCTGGGCCTGGGCGCTGTCCCTCAGCTCTTCAGCTCAAGGCTAGCGTTCTACCACTTGAGCCACAGGGCCACATCCGGCTTTTTTCTTTTTGCTTATGTGGTTGGTGCTGAGGAATTGAACCCACGGCCTTATGCATGCAAGGCAAGCACTCTACCACTGAGCCACCTTCCCAGCCCTAGTTTTACATTTTAAAAAGAATGTTTTGGCCAGGAGCTAGTGGCTCACACCTACAATCCTAGCTACTCAGGAGGCTGAGATATGAGGATCACAGTTCAAAGCCAGCCTGGGCAGGAAAGTCCATGGAACTCTTATCTCCAATAAACTAACAGAAAACTGGAAGTGGTGCTGTTGCTCAAGTGATAGAGCACTTGCCTTGAGCTGAAGAGCTGAGGGACAGCGCCCAGGCCCAGAGTTCAAGCCCCACAACAAGAAAGAAAGAAAGAAAGGAAGAAAGAAAGAAAGAAAGGAAGAAAGGAAGAGAGAAAAAAAGAAAGAAAGGAAGGAAGGAAGGAAGGAAGGAAGGAAGAAAGAAAGAAAGAAAGAAAGAAAGAAAGAAAGAAAGAAAGAAAGAAAGAAAGAAAGAAGGAAGGAAGGAAGGAAGGGAAAGAAAGAAAGAAAGAAAGATTTAATATCTCTATGCTCTCTTCTGAAGGTTTGTTGACCACCTTGGGGTTTTTGGCCTGTAGAAGCATCACACTTATCGCTGCTTTCATCTTCACATGGAATTCTCCTGTGCGCATGACTGTGTGCCCAATTTTCCCTTTTGATAAAATATTAGTGCCCAGTGACGGTGGCTCACGTCTGTAATCCTAGTGTTTTCAAGGTTGGAAACATACTATGACACAAAAATAAAAGATGTCTGTCTCTGCTTTATAAATTTTCTACTGCACTTACTTCTATGACGTTATCGTGACTTATTTCACTACATTATCTTAAGCCTCTTAGATTTTCTCCACCTGTCCCTTACATTGGTTCACATATTAACAGAAACACTTAACTTTTCCTTCAGGTCTAATCGTTGCCATTATGTAGATGATTTCTAGCTTATAACTTCTAAAAATTACCTCCTTCCTAAGCAACAGATTTTTCTATCCAACTTCCAACTTAGCAGCTCAAAGAAATCCAAATCCCCTTCCCCACTTTATACTCCTTTTCTTCCCCCTAGACTCATTCATGTGAGCCGATAAAGAGATTGTGTTGGGCCATGTGACTTTCTCATTCCCACTGTCTTTTGTTTAATATATGTGAACATCCCTAATCTGAATATCTGAAATCCAAAATGCTCCAAAACCTCTGAAACTTTCTGAATACCAACATGATGCCACACTTGGAAAATTCTTTTTTTTTTTTTGCCAGTCCTGGGGCTTCAACTCAGGGCCTGAGCACTGTCCCTGTGTTTCTTTTGCTCAAGGTTAGCACTCTACCACTTGAGCCACAGCGCCACTTCTGGACTTTTCTGTGTATGTGGTATTGTGGAATTGAACCCAGGGCTTCATGCGTGCCAGGCAGGCACTCTACCACATTCCCAGCCCACGTTGGGAAATTCTGTATCTTAACTTTTTTCAGTTGTGAGGCTTGAACTCAGGACCTGAGTGCTGTCCCTGAGCCTCTTTGTGCTCAAGGCTAGTGTTCTACCATGTGAGCCACAGGACCGCTTCCAGTATTTGAGTGGTTACTAGGAAATATGAATCTCACAGGCACTTTTCTGCATGGGCTGGCTTCTAATCATGATTCTCAGATCTCAGCTTCCTGAGTAGCTAGGATTACAAGCATACATCACTGGTGCCCAGCATATATATATATATATATATATATTTTTTTTTTTTTTTTTTTTTTTTTTTGGCTGGTCGTGGGGCCTGAACCCTGGGTCTGGGCGCTGTCCCTCAGCTCTTCAGCTCAAGGCTAGCACTCTACCACTTGAGCCACAGCGCCACTTCCAACCTTTTCTGCTTATGTGGTGCTGAGGAATCGAACCCAGGGCCTCATGCATGCAAGGCAAGCGCTCTACCACTGAGCCACCTTCCCAGCCCAGCCCAGCTATATTTTTTTCATGTACTGACCCTAATTATTCCTCATAACATACACATACTTTTTCTACACATTCAATATAAAACAAAACAAAACAAAAAACCACACCCATTGATAAGAGGTAACGATGGAGTTAGCATTTTAGTGTAAAGTTATTGGCGAGCCATTAAAGGGTTTTAAGTGGGGAGGCAGCAAGTACATAAAGGAAGCTAAAATAGGAGTCCAAGAAAGAAGTTGAGAAGTTACAAAAAAGACCAGAAAATACAGATATAATAATGTTTCAAAGCCAAGAAAGAAGTGAGGTGAGAGTAGACAACTGTACTAAATGGTACAAAGAGACAAAATAAGACTTGAAAAATGTCCACTGGGGGTTGATACATAGAATAGTTAACAGCTGGGCACCAGTGGCTCATGTCTATAATCCTAGCTACTCAGGAGGCTGAGATCTGAGGATCAAGGTTCAAAGCCAGCCTGGGCAGGAAAGTCTGTGAGAGTCTTATCTCCAATAAACCACTCAGAAAACCAGAAGTAGCACAGTGGCTCAAGTGGTAGAGCACTAGCCTTGAGCTGAAGAGCTGAGGGACAGCGCCCAGGCCCAGAGTTCAAGCCCCATGACACCCTCCCCCCCAAAAAAAATTTTTTAAACACAGCTTCATTAAATTATGCAACTTGAGTTCTGGCAATAAACCAGCCCTTTAAGTTTCTCCACTACATGCAAATACACTATCTTCCTTTACAAACTTTTGCAACAGCTTCCTTCGGCTGACCTCAACATCAAGATTCTACTACTTCTTCTCAAACTAATAATCCTTGCCTGTGCCTCTCAAGTGCTGAGATTACAGGCATGCACTATCATGTGCTTTGGGCTCAATCTTCTCTCATTCTCCAGTAAACACACCCAGTTTTCCTTTCAACTATATATATATTTTTTCTCTGTCGTGGGGCTTGAACTCTGGGCCTGGGCGAAGCTCAAGGTGAGAGCTCTACTACTTGAGCTACAGTACCACTTCTGGTTTTCTGGTGGTTAATTGGAGATAAGAGTTTCACAGACTTTCCTGCCCGGGCTGGCTTTGAACTGTGATCCTCAGATCTCAGCCTCCTGAGTAGCTAGGATTACAGGTGTGAGCCACAGGTAGCTGGCTCAATTAAGTTTTTTTACTGCACTCCAAATACACTAGCTATTCTCAATTTCATGCTTCTGCTTGTATTGTAGTTTTAGCACTGAATGGATTCTGCCTTATCTAATAATTTGTATAATTACAATGACAAAATCTCTGAATTATAAAGAAATTCAGACTTGTCATAAAGTTATATTCATTTGATTCAAAGGACTATCCTTAAGTGAGAGACCATATCCTCTTTTCTTTTTTCGTTCTTTTTAGTTTTGTTGTTAAATGTCATTTCTTTAATGAAATTATGGTGATAATAGCATAAAATTTGTGTGTGTGCATGTGTGTGTTGTATGTGTGTGTGTGTTGTGTGTGTGTGTGTGTACATGTGCACCAGTCCTAAGGACAGAACTCAAGGCCTAGGCTCTGTTCCCTGAGCTTTTTTTGTTTTTGTTTTTGTTTTTTTGGGGGGTCCGGTCATGGGGCCTGAACTCTGGACCTGGGCGCTGTCCCTCAGCTCTTCAGCTCAAGGCTAGCACTCTACCACTTGAGCCACAGCACCACTTCCAGCTTTTTTCTTTTTTCTTATGTGGTGCTGAGGAATGGAACCCAGGGCCTCATGCATGCAAGGCAAGCACTCTACTACTTAGCCACCTTCCCAGCCCCCTAAGCTTTTTTTTTTTTTCCCCTCAAAGTTAGCACTCCTGGCTTCTGGTGGTTAGTTGGAGATAAGAGTCTCATGGACTTTCCTGCCCAGGCTAGCTTTAAACTACAATCCTCAAATCTCAGCCTCCTGAGTAGCTAGGATTTACAGGCATGAGCCATTAGCATCCAACTAATTTTTATTTCCATATATGTTAACTTTTAAATTGATAAGTTCATATCATTCTACAAAAAAAATGTTAAATCTTCTATGTGCATGTAATAAAAAAGTGAGCAGATCATTGGTGTCTTCTACGTCTATCCCATGAATTCTCTCAGCATCATCCCTGACAAGTCGTTCAACAAGTCTCTGCTCAAAAATTTCCAGTGCCAAGGAGTTTACTTCCTCACAAAAGAGCACATTCTATTTTTGAATAGCTTCAATTATGATAAAATTTATCCATTCAGGTCTTTCTAATCTGCCCTGCTCATCAGTTACTTTAGAATCCCCTTTCCTATGACATTTTCATTAAAATCACTTGAAGTATTTCTTTTTTTCTTTTTTCTTTTTGGCCAGTCCTGGGACTCAAACTCTGGGCCCAGGTGCAGTCCCTGAGATCTGCGATTAATTAGAGATGAGTCTCACAGAGTTTTCTGCCCAGGCTGGCTTCAAACCACCAGTCTCAGATCTCAGCCTCCTGAGGGAATACAGGTGTAAGCCACCGGTGCCCAGCTCAAAATCTCTCTCTCTCTCTCTGTCTCTCTCTCTCCTTTCTCTTTCTTTCTTTCTCTTGCTTGCTTGCTTTGCTTTTTTTGTGCCAGTCCTGGAGCTTGAACTCAGGGCCTGGGCACTGTCCCTGAGTTTCTTTTGCTCAAGGCTAGTGCCCTACCACTTGAGCCACAGCACCACTTCCAGCTTTTTCTCTCAATGTGGTATTAAGGAATTGACCCCAGGGCTTCATGCATGCTAAGTAAGCACTCTATCACTAAGCCACTAAAACATCTTAAAGGTTGTTCCTAGTAAGGCACTGGTGGCTCATACCTAATTCTAGCTACTCAGGAGGCTGAGATGTGAGGATTGCAGTTCAAAGCCAGCCTGAGCAGGAAAGCGCATGAGACTCTTATGTCCAATCAACTATTCTAAAGAAAAAAAAAGCATTAGTGACACTGTAGCTCAAGTGGTAGAGCACTACTCTGAGCAAAAAAGCTCAAGTACAGCACCCAGGCTCTGAGTTCAAGCCCCAGGACAGGCACAAAAACAAAAAACAAATAATCAAAATAAAACAAAAATTATCCTAGAGGAATCTTTCTTTCTTTTTCTTGCTTGTTTGCTTTGCTTTGCTTTACAAAATCATTACTTATGATGATCCTATTATGCAAAAACACTTAGAAATGGAGCCATATAAATACTTTTTCTTACACAAGGCATATTTACAAAGCAGGAACATTGGGATGAACTTTGCATTGTTGTCTTAGGTATTTGTTTTTGTTTTTTTTTTGTCAGTTGTGGGGCTTGAACTCTGGGCCTGGGCGCTGTCCCTCAGCTCTTCAGCTCAAGGCGAGCGCTCTACCACTTGAGCTACAGCACCATTCCGGTTTTCTGGTGGTTTATTGGAGATAGGAATCTCACAGTCTCTCCTGCCCGGGCTGGCTTTGAACCGCGATCCTCAGATCTCAGCCTCCTGAGTAGCTAGGATTACAGGCGTGAGCCACCAGCGCCCGGCATGTCTTAGGTATTTGTTTCATATGAAATCACTCTAGGACAAAAACAGATAAAAGGAGGTATGATTTTATTGTATTTGTTTTTCATTTTATGTCATTTCTTTTTCTCAGCTGGGGCATCAGCTTTGGTGAACAAGGATATATTCGAATGGCAAGAAATAGTAAAAATCACTGTGGAATCGCTAGCTATTGCTCTTACCCAGAAATCTAGAGGATCTCTTCATTTTACAAGTCAAGAAAATGAAATATCACCTTAATTTGACCTTCTATATTCTGGAGAAATAAGTATGTCACAATCAATGTATATTTACTATGTTAACTGGAAGATATAACTTGCCTCTTCACTTACATATCTCTGAGAAAAGCTTGCAAATTAAGTTATAAATTTACTGTAGACATAACTATATGAACTGGTCTTCCTGAGATAATCTGTTGTGTCTGTCAGTGTTTTATTTTACATTCTGTCATTTTGAGTCTCCTATAGCCTTTTGGAACATGATGGCCTAAAAATGTTTAATAAATCTGTCATTTCAAATTTCTATTATTACCACATCATTTTTTTCCCTTTCTTTTTTCCTTTTTTTTTTTTTTTTTTGCCAGTCCTGGGGCTTGAACTCAGGGCCTGGGCACTGTCCCTGAGCTTCTTTTGCTCAAGGCTAGCGCTCTACCACTTGAGCCACAGTACCACTTCTGGCTTTTTCTGTGTATGTGGTACTGAGGAATCAAAGCCAGGGCTTCATGCATGCTAGGCAAGCATTCTACCACTGAGCCACCTTCCCAGCCCACATATCATTTTTTTTTTTTTTTGTCGGTCCTGGGGCTTGAACTCTGGGCCTGGGTGCTGTCCTTCAGCTCTTCAGCTCAAGGCGAGCACTCTACCACTTGAGCTACAGCACCACTTCCGGTTTTCTGGTGGTTTATTGGAGATAGGAGTCTTACAGTCTTTCCTGCCCGGGCTGGCTTTGAACCGTGATCCTCAGATCTCAGCCTCCTGAGTAGCTAGGATTACAGGCGTGAGCCACCAGCGCCCAGCTCACATATCATTTTTTAAAAGTTAGTCTTAAGAGCTGAGAATGTGGCTTAAGTGATAGAGTATCTGTCTCCTAATTGTAAACCTCTGAGTTCAAACCCTAGAGAATAAAAACAAAAACAAAACAAAACCCAGAAAAAATCCCTCACATTATTTTTCTTAGGTAATTGTTATGTTAATGTTAATTATAGCATACTGGTAATGGCTATGGCAACTTTGATAGGAAAAAATTTAATTTATACATTTTCTAAGGCTCACATTTTATCTTTGCACATAACAAATTTAATGAGGGATTTATTTATTTACTTATTAGCAATACTAGAGTTTGAGCTCATGGCCTTTCATTTGCTTACTAGGCAATCTACTGTCTGAGCTACACTACTACTCTGCATTTTACTGGTTATTTTAGAGATGAGACTCTTGAACTTTGTTCCTTGAGCTAGCCTTGAATCATTATCCTCTGGATTTCAGAGTCCTAAGTAGTTAGGATTACAGGTATGACTCACTAACACCAGAAAGCTTTATTTATTTTTTTGTCAGTTGTGGGGCTTGAACTCAGGGCTTGGGTGCTGTCCCTGAGCTCTTTTGCTCAAGAATAGCTCTCTACCACTTTGAGCCACAGCTCTATTTCCATTTTTTGTTTTGTTTTGGGGTTGGGGTTTTGTTTTTTTTTTTGAGAGTGGTGAATTGGAGATCAGAGTCTCCTGGGACTTTTCTGCCTGGATTGGCTTTAAATTACAACCCGCAGATCTCAGCCCCATGTGAATACAGGCTTGAGCCACCGGAACTTGGCTTTATTTTTTTTTTTTGCCAGTCATGGGGCCTGAACTCTGGGTCTGGGCGCTGTCCCTCAGCTCCTCAGCTCAAGGCTAGCACTCTACCACTGAAGCCACAGTGCCACTTCCGGCTTTTTCTGTTTATGTAGTGCTGAGGAATCGAACCCAGGGCCTCATGCTTATAAGGCATGCACTCTACCGCTAAGCTACCTTCTCAGCCCTTGGCTTTATTTTTTATGGTGGTATATATTTATCTATTTACTTACTTGCTTTAGGCAATATTGGGGTTTGAACTCAGGATCTAATTCTTGTTAAGCTTTCTACCACTAAGCCATGCCTCCAGCTTTTAATAAGTGGTTTAAAATTAAATGATATATAGGAGGGGGCATTGGTAGCTCACCCGTAATCCTAGCTACTCTGGAATCTGAGATCTGAGTAATCTGGTTTGAAGCCAGATTGATTCTTATCTCCAATTCCAAAAAGCTGGAAGTAGAGGTATGTCTCAAGTAGTAGAGTGCTATTCTTGAACAAAAATGATCAGAGACAGTACCCAGAGGTCCTGAGTTCAAGTCCCAGGACTGAAAAAACAAATTATATAATAAACTTCATTAATCATTAAACTCATGTGCTTAAAATTGTGCAGTTCTTTGGTTTTGTTTTGTTTTTTAGCATTTGTTTGTTTATGTAATTCTGGGAGCAAACAGCCTCCCTCTGAGTCTCATCTTGGGCCTGGAAGAATTATTTTAATGATCAATAATTTAATATATTAGTTTAAATAATTTTTGCAGGGCTGGGAAGGTGGCTCAGTGGTAGAGCGCTAGCCTTGCATGCCTGAAGCCATGGGTTCGATTCCTCAGCACCACATAAGCAAAAAGAAAAAAAAGCCAGAAGTGGCGCTGTGGCTCAAGTGGTAGAGCGCTAGCCTTGAGCTGAAGAGCTGAGGGACAGCGCCCAGGCCCAGAGTTCAGGCCCGACAACCGGACCCAAGAGGGTCAAGATCTGAGCTCAGACAGCCCTCTCCTGTCTGTCCATCCATCTGTTCATTCTCCTGTCTCATCTCCAAGATGGACAAGGTCTGACTACAGTCTGCCCTCCCCTCTGTCCACTTGTCTGTTCTATGTCTGTCTAACTTGTCTTAGTTTTGAGTTCTTGTAACCTCAACTTACTTTTAAACTAGATTGATTTTAAAAGAAGTCTAAATAAAGTTTCTCTATATTCAAAAATAAAAAAATAAAAATAAATAAATAAATAATTTTTGTCTAGTCTTTAACAATTAACTAGGACCTTTCTTGAAAAACAAGTGAATGAAATAACCAAACTGAATTTGAATCTTCAAAGTATTCTACTACTCATCTTTTTTACCTAATTCAGATGGATCTGCCTCATAACTGCTGTATGAGTATATTGTTTCTGAAAAAGCAGGAGGAATTTAAAGTTTAACAATTTTAAAATTCATTCCTGTGACATGAAAAATGTGTTGAATGTTGTCATCATATATCCTAAACTGACCTTTAAATAATTTCACTATTTCTACCTCCCTCTTCACTAGGCTCATCTTAAAGAACAAGCATTGATAAACATAGTTTTAAAGTACTTAGTTATCTTTGATTTCTATTTCTATTTTATTTTAGTTTGTACTGGTACCAGGACTTTAACTTAGAGTCCTGCACTCTTGCTCAGGTTGTTGGGGTGTTTTTGCTCACGGCCAGCATTATACCACTTGAACCACACTTACAGTTTTTTGTTTTGTTTTGTTTTGCTGTTAACTGGAGATAGAATCTCTCAGACCATTCTTTCTAGGCTAGCTTTGAAACACAATCCTCAGATCTCAGCCTCCTGACTAGCCGTTGTTTAGGCATGAGCTTCCAGGACCTAGCATTAATTTTGTTTTTAATTTTAATTTTGTTTTACCCATACTCTTCAAGTGTTATAATGGAAACAATGGGTCATAAAATTTGGCATTCTGATGCAGTCTACGTATATGTTTTCCAAATAAAATAGAATGTACAGAATTATAGATGAAGTCAAGTATGTTAAAATGCAGTTGTTAAAATGTTAAAATGTCACCGGATGCCAGTAGCTCATGCCTGTAATCCTAGCTACTCAGGAGGCTGAGATCTAAGGATGGAGGTTCAAAGCCAGCCCAGGCAAGAAAGGCCGTGAGACTCTTATCTTCAATAAATCACTCAGAAAACCAGAAGTGGTACTGTGGATCAAGTGGTAAAGCGCTCGCCTTGAGCTGAAGAGCTGAGGGACAGCACCCAGGCCCAGAGTTCAAGTCCCAGGACTGACAAAAAAAAAAATTAAAATGTGAATTTATGATGTAAGACAGACATAGTAATACATGCCTATATTCCCAGCATTTGGAAAACTGAGGCAGACAGTCTTGAGTTTGTGGCCAGCCTGGGTTATACAGTGAGACTGTCTCAAAAATAAAGGACAACGTATGTGGAACTGTCACGACTAAAACAAAACAAAAAACAGGAAGGAAGTTGAATACAGCTGAAATAGATTATTAGCAACTCTTGAAAACAGAACAGTGAAATTTACTGAAATTGTTTTCGAAAAGATGGGATGGAGGGTAAGAGGGTGAAATTGATTGCAACACATTGTAAAGTGTGGAAATGTAACAGAATCCTCCTCTGTATAATTAATATAAGCTAATATTAAGAAAATAAATGATAGGAAAGTAAAACAAGCTCTAATAGGACAGCAGGCAAGAGCAGGAGAGGGGAGAGGTAAAAAAGGGCTAAAAGAGGATATAAACATGATGCATATATAAAAGTAGAACAGTAAAACCAGTTAAAATTGTTTTAAGAAGAGGGAGTAGGGTTGGGGAGATTAAAATAAAATAAATGTCATCTTCAAAAGACATAAATACCCAAGCTTTAACAATCACTATTTGAGGTACTCCCCTCACCAGAAAAAAAGTTTTACTATGTTGAACTGGTCTTGAACTTGTGAACTCAAGCAATACTGCTTCCATTTTCCAGCCTCCTGAGTATCTGAGACCATGGGCAGATACCTCCATGCCTAGCTTCTCTTTTTTTTTTTTCTTGTGCCTGACTTTTCTTAACATTGTCCATAAAGTTATGCATATCTTGACTTCCCTGTCTCATCTGATGTTAGTATTCTCTGTGTTTCCAGCCACATAGGCCCATTTTCAATTTTATTTATTTATTTTTTTTTTGGGTCCGGTTGTGGGCCTGAACTCTGGGCCTGGGTGCTGTCCCTCAGCTCTTCAGCTCAAGGCTAGCGCTCTACCACTTGAGCCACAATGCCACTTTCGGCTTTTTTTTTCTGCATATGTGGTGCTGAGGAATCGAACCCAGGGCCTCATGCATGCAAGGCAAGCGCTCTACCACTGAACCACCTTCCCAGCACCCCCATTTTCAATTTTTCACACACTTCCCATTTTAAAGCCTTTGCAAGTGTTACAAATGGATGACCAGAATATTTAAAGTGTTGACAAGTAAAAACTATATCCTAGGGCTGGGAATGTGGCTTAGTGGTACAGTGCTTGCCTAGCATGCACGAAGCCCTGGGTTTGATTCCTCAGTACCAATAAACAGAAAAAGCCAAAAGTGGCACTTGTAGCCCAAGTGGTAGAGTTCTAGCCTAGAGCAAAAGAAGCTCAAGGACAGCGTCCAAGCCCTGAGTTCAAGCCCCAGGACTGGAAAAAAATAAAAATGAAAATAAATACATCCTAACAGATCTTTCATAATGATAGAAA